CCGGCCCAGAGGGGAGCGGGGAGGGGACAGGGAGCGGAACGGAGAGCGGTGCGGTAAGGTGGGGCCAGGCGGAGCGCAGCAGACAGACCGAACAGTTTTTCGGCCACAGCTCGAAAACCGTTCAAGTTAGAGTGGTACAGTAAGCGAGCCGATTGTAGCTTGTACAGAGACCTACAATCGGCTCGCTTACTATACCCTCTTATCTAGAACGGTTGGAAGCTGTGACCGAAAAACCTTCTCCAGCCGTTAAGTGCGTGGGCCGCCATTTTGTCTGGAATATGAGACAGCTCTCCGGCCGCGCGCGGGGAGTATGAGAAACTGTTGGTGCGCTTATCGGCGCCCGCGCTTCTCCGTCAGTCTCTAGGTCTCTAGTCCGGCCTGCCGGCCCGGATGACAGCCGGCCTGCGCTGCGCTGCGCCGTGCTGCTGTCCGATCCGAACCGCCGAACCCCGTCCAGGATGGATGGCTTCGGCTCGGCGGCGCTAGAGGCAGCGACACTGGTGGAAAGACGAGACGAATGAGATTTCGTTTGACCCGCTTTTGCGCCAAAGAGGATTCCGGAGAAGGGCTCCCGCGAGGACCGCGCGCGTTCGTGTGTGTGCGTGTGTGTGTGTGTGTATGTGTGTGTGAGAGAGGGGGGGGCGCTACGACTTTGAATGGCATTGAATGCTGCATTGAAGGCGCTGGGATAAACCAGGCAGTCCGGCCGGCCATCGCGACGTCGTCAAAGGGAGAAACGATCTGACGAGGTGCACGTCCCCGACGACGCCCTGGCCGCCCCGCAGACTGATTCCGAGAGCCTTTTTTCGTCGCGCCCTCTCTCTCGCACTCGTGTGGCGCCGCCTGGAGGTGCGAGCGAGACGAAAAAGGGCTCCGAGTGTGCCGACGCCGCCCGCCTGCGCCGATCTCCATCATTTGGTGTAGGCTGCGTGGCCGGGCCGCCTCGCCGCGCGCCTGGACGTGTTGCACCATTTTGATGGCCGCAGCCAGCTGATTCCGAGAGTCCCTCTCGTCGCTCTGTCTCTCTCGCACTCGCGGAGCGTCCCGCACGGGTGCGGGAGAGGCTCTCGGAATGGGGCCGCGCCGCCGCTGGCCCACGGGGCCCACGGGGCCCATCAAGCAGGACCGGGGCCTAAGTGCATTCCGCCCGCCGTGCAGCCTTGCACCGCCGAACTGGACGAGGTGGCCGAGGCGGGCGACTCGATGAGGCTCGGCTTTCAGAGAAAGTAAAAGTGGCCGCCAACAGAGAAAGGGCATCGGGCTGGCCCGGCCGGGGCGGGCCGGGGCGGGCCACGGGGGCGTCGGGGCGCATTGTGAGCAGGGCCGGGCAGGGCCGGCCAGGCCCGGGCCAGGACGTCTCTTGGGCCCCTTGACATTTATGAGTGATTGTCCGACACGCCGGGCTGCGCCGGGCCAACAGGGCCTGGTGGGCCAGAGGCTCCAGGCGCCAGGGATGCGGTGGGAACAGCCAAGGCGCAGCCAAGGCCGACCTGGAAACCGTTTTGTCAAAGTGCGCGCTCGCCCGCGTTCCGGTCGTCCCGGGCAACACTCTCACACACGGAACGACCCGTTTTCAGCACCGGCTGGAAGAGTGCGAGAGCGAGAGAGACCTGACAGGCCTGGCAGTCATGCACGGGCCTGTCGCGCATTTATCCGGCGACCCACTCGATTCCCGACGACTGACGAGGCGAAGGCCTCGCCGCGCGGGACGCGTCCTCGACCGGGTTTGGCCGTCCGGCCTGGACGTCTGGATCTGGACGTCTGGATCTGGACCGATCTGGATGACGGCTCCTCCAGCGATGCGAGGCTGCGAGGCGCCGCGCTATCTCCAGGCAAAAGCAGCAAAAGCTGGAAAAGACGGACTGGGGCGGAACGTGAGTTATTGAATCGCCTTGCTCGCGGCACTGCCCGACTATCGCCCGCGGCCCTCCTCGTCGCTCGGCCTCTCTCGCTCGCTCTCCCGCACGGGGCGACAGAGAGAGAGAGAGAGAGAGAGAGAGAGAGAGAGAGAGAGAGAGGCGGAATCAAAGTGCTGCCCCACATTTTCCTCTGCGCGTTTTCCCGCTCTGCCGGCCGGAGTATAGTGTAAGGTTGGCCCTCGGGCCCCGGGCCTCTGGAGGCACACGGCGCGGTGGGAGGCTGCGAGCCTAGCTTGGCCGAGCCTGCCCGCCGCCTTGCCGCGTCTATCGGGGGAGTAGTGGACGGACCCCAAAGGGAAGCGTGCGAAATGTTTGGCCAGCTTTCTCCACGCCGCGCATGTGTGTGTGTGTGTGTGCGTGTGTTTGTGTGCTGGTGCGCGTGCAAATGTGTGCCCACCTCCCCCGGCGATCCAGAACCACTAGTAGCACTCCGCAGTATGCATCGCGTTACTAGCCTCGACTGTCTCGACTGCCGGGGAAATTGAATGCACGCAACAGTGGGCTAACTGTGACCAAGAGAGAGAGAGAGAAGACAGACAGGTTGATGATATGCGCGGGGAACGCGGGCGCTGGCCAGTAAAGTGTCATTGACGCCTTTTACTGCATCCTTTCCCGGCGTGCGCTCGTTCGCGGAGGCCGTGCTGGCCCAACAAACCACTCACTCCAACCTGCCTGCCTGCCTGCCTGCCCGGCCGTCCGGTCTGCGAATAAGAAAATGGCGCAGCGGTCCGGGCGATAGGCAGATAGGCTTTGATAATGAGCGCCTTTGCCTCGTTTCCGCGCGGGCCTCGCCTGCCGCTCTCTCTCTCTCGCACCCCTGCGGGCCGCGCCGCGAGTGCGAGAGAGACAGAGCGACTCTCCGGAACGAGCCCGCTGCGTGCGCAACGGGAACCGCGCCGCCCTACTCCCGGCCCATATTGAACAGGGCTGTGCCCGGCTGGGCCGCCGCGATGTTCGAAAAAAGATTTTTCTCTTTGTTCTCGGGAGTCGCTAACGGGGCTCCCGAGTCGGAGACTCGCGCGGACAGTGTTTTTGGCGGGGTGCGCGCGGGAGTGTTGCTGCGAACACGACCGGGGAGGGGCCGGGCGGTGCCCCGGGGCCACGCCGCCACGCCGCGGCCGTGACGGGCAGCCGGTGCAGCATGCAGGATGCGGGATGGGCGCGGACGGCTCGGTGCGATGCGCGGTGCGCGATGCGATGCCGCCTTGGCGAAAATGAGATTGGCCGATAGGCGTCCACGTCGCGGTGCTGGCGGTGGTGTGGCCGAGGGCTGGCCGGGCAGGTGCGACGGATCGGCGATCGCTCGGGGCGTCCGCCGGCCTGACGGCCCGACGTGCGCGCCTCTCGGTTTTATGGCACTTATCGGCGGGAAGGGCGGCCCCGTCCCGTCCCGGTCCCTGGAGCCTGGCCGCGGGAAGCGGAGGCGCGCCGAGACGTCGACGGCGCGGCGGTGCGCTCGGAGACTTGAAGCCCGAACGCCTGCGGGACTCGGGGTGGGCCGGCCCGCCGAGCACGCCGGCGCTGCAGTGTTGCCTACCCGGCCGACGGCAGGCGCTTTCACCGCGAGGGCGACCGCGCCGGGCCTTCCCGTTCCGCGACGCTGCGACCCCGTGGCTGGCCTGCCCGGCCCGCATGACCCGTACGGTAAACGGGAGTGAGAGGGAGGCGGCCCGGCTGGGTTTCCCAGTGGGTGCTGCGCAGTGCTGCGGTGGCGTGGAGGCTGAGCGTGGACCGCGCCGCGCGTTGAGGTCTCCGAGTCTCCGGCCAGTGTAGTGGCCGAGAGCATGCTGCCGCTGGGCAGCGCTCCGGTGCGGTGGGACCATTAATCCCCCGCGCTGACCAGCCCCGCCCCGCCCGGCCCCGCCCCGCCGCGAGGTTCGCAGGTGCGAACGGGGCCTTAATGGTGTCGCCGGGGGGTCTTCATATGTCACTGTTGTTGGGTTGGCTGCTAGGAGAGAGAGAAGCGGCAGCCAGCCAGGCAGGCGGGCAGCTCAGTCCCCTGCAGCTTGTGTTTTTGTTTTTCTTGTTGGCATATTCGCTTTTTCCTCTTTTTACGGTGAGGTGAGAGACTCGGTATTCAGAACGAAGTGAGGCAGCAGGGGAATGATGGGGTTTCGCTTGAATGGGTGTGGTAATTACCTTCTCTCTCTCTCTCTCTCTCTCTCTCTCTCTCTCTCTCTCTCTCTCTCTCTCTCTCTCTCTCTCTCTCTCTCTCTCTCTCTCGCGTTTTCGCGAAAACGGAAACAAAAACGCGAAAACGAAAACGCGAAAACAAAAACGCGAAAACGATAACGAAAACGCGAAAAAACGGGGGACGGCAACGAGTGCGAGAGAGGCTCTCGGAGTGGGTCCGCCGCTTCGACGGGACGGACGGGACGGGCGTCATCGTGACGGAGGGCGTGCCCCAGCCCGGCGGATAAGGAAGGCCTGCCGGCGTGGCGCGGCGTGGCGCGGCCTGCCTGGGTCGTGAGGCGCGAGGGGGCGCGGGGCACAGCGCAGTGCAGTGGAGTGGGCCGGTACACTTGACACCTCGTGAATGGCTCGGCCGGCTTGCTACCTACCTGTCAGGTGCCTCGCGGCCTGCCGGGCCTGCCCCCGTGCCCCGTGGCCCGTCCTCGGGGGAACAACTCAAACACTGTACTGCTGCTGCTGCTGGCTCTGGCTGCTGCGCGTCTCAACTTCATCGTCGGGTCCTTCAATGAAACGGACGGGGCGTTTTGAGTTGGACGGAAAACTTGACAGTGTTTGTCAGCTTAACACCGTGTCGCCCGCCAATTGTTTCATTTGAAACATGCTGGTTACACTGAAACATGATTGACATGGACATGTTTCTCAGTTTGAATGTTGCGTTGAATAACGATTGCATCCCATTCAATACCCGACGGCCGGGCCATGGGAGGCACGGTGAACGGTGTACAAGCCTCCGCAGCCCACAGCTCCCAGAGCGGGGAGCGCCTGCCGCATAGGCAACCCAACCGGCAGCCGCGCGTGGCGGGCCGGCCTGCGTCACGGCGCTTGCCGGCGCGGCGTCGGTGTCCGCTGTGGCGTCGTTTTGAAAACGGTTCGTTTTTGTTGTTGCAGGCCAAGAGCGACGAGCAGCTGGAGACGGAGAAGGCGTGGCTGGACGCGGAGCGACTCTGGCTGGTGCACCGCAAGGGCTTCACGGCGGTGCAGGGCGGGCAGCGCGCCCAGCAGAACGCCGAGGCCGGCAGCGACGACGGCAGCCGCCTGCACGTGCGCGTCGACGCCACCCAGGAGGTGGTGACGGTCGACGACGATGACGTCGAGAAGGTGAGTGCGAGGCCGCGAGGGCGAGGCGGTGATGTGCGTGTGGCGTCGTCCAGGCGGCTGACGGCGTCCTCCTGTTGCAGGCCAACCCCCCTCAGTTCGACCGGTGCGAGGATCTGGCGCAGCTGCGCTACCTCAACGAGTCCTCGGCCCTGCACACGCTGCGGCAGCGCTACGGCTCCAACCTGGTGCACACGTACGCCGGCCCCGCCCTGGTGGCCATCAACCCCATGGTGCCGCTGGCCATCTACAGCGAGAAGGTGGCGCACATGTTCCGGGGCTGCAAGCCCGAGGACATGCCCGCGCACATCTACGCCGCGGCGCAGGCGGCGTACCGCGGCGCCCTGGCCTTGCGGCGCGACCACTCGCTCGTGTTCCTGGGCCGGTCCGGCGCCGGCAAGACGTGCAACTTCCGGCACGCGCTGCACTACCTGGTGCTGGCCGCCGGCTCCGTCAACAAGGTGCTGACCCCCGAGAAGCTGAGCTCGGTGTGGACGCTGCTGGAGGCGTTCGGCAACGCGCGCACCGCGGCCAACGCCAACGCCACCAGGTTCACCCAGATCTTCTCCCTCGACCTGGACCAGTCGGGCCAGATCGCGTCCGCGTCGCTGCAGCTGCTGCTGGCCGAGCGGTGGCGCGTGGCGCGGCGCCCGGCCGGCGAGGCCAACTTCCACATCCTGTACCGCCTGCTGGCCGGCGCGGAGGGCGCGCTGCGCCGGGAGCTGCAGCTGGACAACGTCTACGGCAGCGAAAGCAACATGTTCGTCACGCCGCTGCAAAAGGTATGTCTCTTGTTTGTTGATCAACCCTGCGACCTGCGGGGCCGGCTTCAGTAATGACACGGGTTGGCCTTCGCCCTCAGATGGAGGACAAGCAGAAGGCCGAGCTGGAGTTCTCCCGCGTGACCGCGGCCATGAGCCTGCTGGGCGTCTCCGACGCCGAGGCCCGCGTGCTGTGGAACGTGCTGGCCGCCATCTACCACCTGGGCTTTGCCGGCGCCGTCAAAGGTACCTCGAATCGTGACCACTACCCTGTCCGCTCGGCATGCCTTGCAAGAGCTCGCCTTTTGACACCCGTCTCTGTCTGGTTCCAGCCGACAAGAGCCAGAGGTGGCAGTTCGCCAGCCCCGCGGCCGCGGCCCGCGCCGCCCTGCTGCTGGGCGTGCCCGTCGAGGAGCTGTCCCGCGCGCTGTTCGGCTCGGCGGTGGGCTCGGGGTCCGGCAGCGGGTCCACGCCGCAGTCCGGCAGCCCTTCCAGCGGCCCTGGCTCCGGCGCCAGGGGCTCCTACAGGACGCCCTCGCCGTCGCCGTCCGAACGCAGCGTCACCGGTGGCCTCGACAGGGGCGAGTTCACCGGTGTGGAGGCGCTGGAGGGCTTCGTCGTGGGCCTGTACTCGGAGGTGTTCGGCGCCGTTGGCGCGCTCATCAACAGGAGCCTGAGCTCGCAGAGCAACGCCGTGGTGTCGTTGCTGCTGCTGGACTGCCCCGGCCTCCAGAACCCCGCGTCCTGCGGCAGCCAGGCCGGCGCCTCCTTCCACGACCTCTGCCACAACTACCTGGCCGAGCGGCTGCAGCTGCTGTTCCATCACTCGGAGCTGGTGGCGCCCAAGGACCGCTATATCCAGGAGAACATCGACTGCGACCTGGGCGAGGACGACGCCGGCCTGGACGGGTCCACGGCGCCGCTGGTGGGCATGATCGACCGGCCGCCCGCCACCACCACCATGCTGCGGTCCTCGCAGACCGACCTGCGCCGCGGCGTGGAGCAGGAGAAGCGCGGCCTGCTGTGGCTGCTGGAGGAGGAGGCCAACCAGCTGGGCGCCAGCGACACCTCCTTCATCGACAGGCTCTTCTCGCACTACAGCGACAGGGGTGAGTGAGCTCACCGTCAATTTCTCGTCGTTTTTCTTGGCCGCCCCAGACACGCGGCTAGAATTTCCCTTTTTCGGTTCCAGATCACCAGCTGCTGCTTCGCAAGGCCCCGGGCAACAACCACTTCGTGCTGCAGCACATGCAGGCCACCAGCCCGGTGCTGTACTCCGCCAACGGCTGGCTCAAGGCCTGCAGGGAGAGCCCCACGACGCGGGCGGCGGCCGCGCTGCTGCAGGAGAGCTCCAGGGAGGAGATGAGCAAGCTGTTCGTGAGCTGCCGCGGCGCGGGCATCTCGTCCACGCTGGGGGGCTCCATGGTGTGCAGCGCGGCGGGGCTGGGCGCCGAGTCGGGCGGCACGCTGCGCAGGGCGTCCAGCATCCGGCGCACGCTCAACGCGGGCACGGCCGCCATCAAGCGGCGCTCCGTCGCGCTGCAGGTCAAGTTCACCGTGGTGAGTGCGAGGACGGGGAGGTGTTGGCCCACTGCTTCATCCGTCGCACTGTGGAGGCGGTCGAAATCCCAGATGCGTTTTGAGCTCCTGAGTCGCTAAATGGGACTCGAACCGCACGTGTGACCCCACCAATAGATTCCTCGTTCAGAGAGCAATCCATTGGTGGGGTCACACGTTCGGTTCGAGCCCTGTTTAGCCACCATAGAGCTCAAAACGCGTCTAGACTTTTGGGCGCCTCCACTGGTCCTCTGGCCCTCTGGCATGGACGTGACCCTCTCTGTCTCCGCCAGGACGGCCTGATCGAGACGCTGCGCCGCACGCGCTCCAAGTTCGTCTTCTGCCTGCTGCCGCAACACAACGCGGGGCTGTGCGACGCGCGCCGCGACTCGCTGTCCGGGGGGCTGCTGCTGCCGTCGTCGCCCAACGGCGCGGCGGCCGTCACGACGGACGAGAGCCTGATGAACGTGCCGCTGCTGCGGTCGCAACTCCGCGGCGCCCAGGTGCTGGCCGTGGTGCGCCTGCACAAGCAGGGCTTCCCCAAGTTCCTGCCGCTGTGGGAGTTCCGGCGCCGCTTCCGACTGCTGGCGCCGCCCGACGCGCGCCCCGCCAGCCCCGTGGACGACGAGCGGAAGACGGCGCAGGACCTGGTGCTGGGCATCGACCTGGAGCCGCTGCAGTTCCGCATCGGCCTCAGTCAGGTGAGTGGTCATTCCCGAGCCCGCGCGGTAGGCAACCCATCGGGCGTCGCGCGGCCTCTTCCCCTTCGCTCGCGCCCCTGCCCCGCGAGGCGGGCAACCCATCCAGCGTCTCGCGGCCCCATTGCCTGCTGCCCCACGAGGCAGGCAACCGGTGTGTCGGTATGCCGGTCTGGCGGGCCCTAGATGCGAGCGCCATTTTACGAGCGACTAAAGTGGCGGTAATGCCGGTGTACCTGCCAAGTGCCTGGGCCTGGGACTGCCTGGCGGCTGCTTGCGCTGCTTGCGCTCGAACGGCGCGGCCCGGCGGCGCCTCGGAAGTGGGTCTCCTCTCCGGCGACGCGCGCCTCTGTGAGCACGGCCAGCACGGCGCGCCGTGGCGGCAGAACAAGATCTCCGCGCTCTCGTGGCGACGCCCATTCAAGTCTCCGCTTTGCGACGCTGCGCTCCGCGACGCCCCCGCCGCCCTCGGCGCGCCGCCCAGTCAGCGACAATGCCTGGGTGGAGGGACGGCTGGGGAAATGCTCTCGGACTGACGGATATCGCGAGCCGGCGTGACCCCAGCCACCGGGCCTCGACCCCAAAATATTGCTCGGCGACCCAACGCCGCTTCAGGGCTTTAGGGCTGCCGAGTCGGGCCGCGTCTGGAGCGGGCCGGAACCTGTTTCTCGAAGGAAGGCTCAAGCAGCGAGGCAGAGTCCCGGAGGTCACATTTCGGGAACCTGTATCTCGCAAGTGAACGGGCGACAGCGGACACCGTCACCACTGAAATTCGGGATTGGATTTGCGGTCTGTTTTCGCTTTTCGCGCTGCGCCCCTGCCCTTTGGGGACGGCCCCTCGCTGCCGAGTGCCGACTGGCGGCCGCGGAAAGTGGGCAGAGCACACGCTAATCACAGCCTGGACGGCCTGGAAGCCGGAATGATGTCGTGTGTGTACACCTTTAGGGTTACGGCGCTCTGCCGGGGTGCCGGCTGCTAACGGTCTGGGACCTCTGCACACTCATTCCGAGAGTCGTTTCCGTCGCTCTGTCTCTCTATAGGGAGTGCCCCATGAGTGCGAGGGAGACGACAGAGCCGACGTGGCTGTCGATTTGCATACCGTCCAGTAGTGGTGCCCGACCTCACCCAGTGCCACGCCACTCGAACTCGCGATGCCGCACGCGGGGTGCCCGTCGGCCGGCAGGTTCGTACTTCGCTCCTCTTTCCCCCGCGGCCCTACACCGTACACTGGTACACTACACCTCACCGGCAGCGCTTCGGGCGTGTAGCGGCTGTAGCGGCCCGGACGGCTCGACGGATGCCGTTGCGTTGTTGTCCGCGAGAATGAGGCGTCGGAGTGCCTGCTGGTGCATGTGCATGTGCCGCTGTCTTTTTATTGTTGTTGTTGTCTTTCTTTTTTTTTCTTGTTTTGGCGGACTGCATTCTGTTTGTCGCTCCCTCGCAAGCGCTGCAAAGCCCCACCCGCTCGGTGTCTTTGCCACCTGTCTAAAGCCGCGCCCTGCGTTAGGCGCGTGGCGTGCGTGTGTGAGTGTTTGTTCGTGCGTGTGTGTGCGTGCGTGTTTTCACCGGCCGGTGCGGCGCCGCGCTGCATTTAGGCCCCTCGTGTCCTACGTGACGCGACAGCGGGACGACACCCTGCCAGGGCACGGCCGGGCACTGCTGGACGTTAAGTGAAATCGAGCCGGCGCCATACTCCACGGCGGCGACGGCGACGGCCGCGCCCCGGACATCGCGCTGCTCGAAAGCGTCGCCCGGACATCGCCCCAGCGCCCCGACCGGTCCGTTCGCGTGCCGCGTACCCGACGTGACGCCCTGCACTGTGAGCGCGAGCAGGCAGCCCCGCGCAGCCACGTCTACGGCCACGTCCCGGCCCAACGCCGTGAGGGTAGGCAGGCCCGTCGCGCAGCCGTGTGCGGCGGCGCTGTGGACGCGCCGGGCGGCCGACGGCGCGGCGATGACGACGATGTGCTCGTTGCAGTCTCCCTGTTTGGCTTGTGGCGCCGTGATAAGATAGCAGCCTGCTCGTTGTGTATGCGGAAGGCCCGGCCGGTGGGCCGCCATGCCGGTGGGCCGCTGCGTCGTACGTGCCGCGGCTTTGCGTGGCTTTGCCTGGCTTTGGCATCGGGACAAAGCGACTAGCGGCGAGTCAAGGCATGAAGGCGCGACACTTTCCAAGCTTTCCCACAACGAGGCCGGGGGCCACGCCCCGCACGCCCCACAGCCCCGTACTGGCCGTGAGCTTCCTTCCCGGCCCGCCGCTCTGCCTCTCTCGCACCCACACGGCACGCCCCACGAGTGCGAGAGAGACTGGTGCGCTAATAGCCGTTTTCTTCCGGAAACCTTGGACGGGGATGGCGCCGCCGCCTGGCCGGCCGACGTGTAAACCGATTTCTGTTTTGGCCGTCGTCGACGGCGATGGCGATGATGACGACGCGGCGCGAGGCCTTGCTGCGGCCCGGTGACCTGCTGCTCTGGGCTTCCATATGCAACGTGTGTGTGTGTGTGTGCGACAATTTGCGCCGCCTCCCCACGCGCTGCGTTTAGCAGTGGCGTGGCCGGCGTGGCGGTGGCCGGCGTGATGGATGTGCCATATTGGCGCGGTTGAGGGGGAGGGGCAGGCCGGGCAGGGGCGGCCTGATTGCCGACGCAGCCAGACGCAGCTCGGGATCGGGATCACTGTGGCTGCCTGCCCGCCCGGCGACCGCCAGGCCATTGTTGTGCGGAATCGTATTTAGGGTCGCCCCGTTACCCGCGCGTGCGCGTGTGTGTGTGTCTGTGTGTGTGCGTCTCGTGTGTGAGTGTGAAGGTGCGCCAGCGGTATGTCGACGGGGACAAATGTCTATATCTACGCGCCACGGCCGCTGCGCGCTCGGCCATCCTGCTCTGGATGCTGTCCCGCATGGGCCGCGTGCCACTCTGCTGCTTTGCCGCTTTGGTGTGGCGGCTGCGCGGCTGCCGCGGAGGCACGGCAAAAGAAAAGGAATCCGTTTTCGTTTGCCTCCGGGAAACAAAGCGGTCAGTGGCGAATACGGCATGGGCAGCCAAATTGCCTTGATTTGGGCTGGACACACACGTACTCTCACTCACACTCAGGCGCCTGACGGAGACCCGCCCGTGCTGCTGGACCCGTTCGTGGGTCCCCCTCCTGGAGTGAATTTTAGCGCACCGCGTGATGGTCGGTATGGCGCTGGAATGCGAACGCGAACTGGTGGCGGCCTGGAGGCCGTGTCCGCTCCCCGGACCGTGTAAGCCCTGTACGCCGCGAAGCCTGCACTGGCCGCCTGGCCCGGGCCGTCCCCGCTGGAATCCGTTCGCCTCGCCAGAGTCGCTGTGGAGTCGAACACCGTCCTATGCTGTAGTCACTCGGACTGTGGAGCGGTGGTGCGGCAGACTGATTCCGATAGACTTTTCTCTCGCACCTGTGCGGGACTCTCCATGGGAGGAAGGCCGAGCGACGAAAGGGTCTCTCGGAGACCGTGCACTCGATTGACACTCGAATGCAGCGGCCGCTCCCCCCGCCTTCGGCCCTGCCAGGCCCTGCCCGTCCGGTGGCACTCGGTGGCACTCTGCCAGAGTCCCCGCCGGGGTGCCGTTGGTTGGGCCGCCTCGGCTGCCTTGGCCGGGCCATCGCGGAAACGCTTCCGTGGATGGGCGGGGCGGCCCGACGGGCGCAGGCGCACAGTGGGCCTGGGCCCTCCACTCCGTGATGAGGCTCTGCTTGTCTTGCTTGCGTGCTGCCGGCCGGGCTGATGCCTGCCTGGCTGCTGGCGGGGCTGGCGGCGCGATGCGAGCGGAACAGTTACTTTGACCGGTGCTAGCGCAGGCCGGCTGGCCGGGGAAGGCTGGCCGGCTGGACCAGCGGCGAGACCACGTGCAAGCTGCACCGCCACTGGTAGTCTCTCACGCTGGACACGTCACGGGTCAGCCGGTAGAAAAAGGAAGCGGAACTGGCGGGACTCGAACCCGCCACCGCGCGAACCGAACCGACGCAACCGGGCTGCATGGTTGCTGTGGCGAGTGTGGCGCCGCGTGCAACACCACTGGGCAAAGTGCTGGTGAGGCGTTTTTTTTCGGTGCCGTTATAACCTATCGCGTCCGTCCTTGTCTGTTCGATAATCACAGTGTAGGGCAAGCCGCGAGAGCGCCCCGCCCCGCCCCACCCCCAACCGGCAGCGTGACCTTGGAGGAATATTTGGCGCGCCTGTGGTGGCGATGCACAAGGTGCGCGCGGTGTGCACGGCCCCGCCGCTTGCCGTTGGGGGGTCGCCAACGGGTCAGGACTCCTAGTTAACGGCCACCCACGCGCCCCTCCCCCACCCCTTTCTTGTGACTCGTTAACCGGAGCCGAGGAGAAGAAGAAGAGGAGGAGGAGGAGAGGAAGAAGTAGGCGACCCGTGGGTGCCTCTGCCTCGCGCCGCCTACGAACAGACAGGGCGCCGCCTGCGACGTAGACGACAACAACAACTTGTTTGCAAACGCCTCAGGACGGGCAATGCCTCTTCCGTATCCGCGTCGTGTTGTGACACTCGGGTCTTGATAGAGCGCGTGGATTTTGAAACGGTGCCGCCCCGCCCCCTTACGACTGTCATTACTCAAAAGGAGACCGGCGGCGCGATTTGCGCGCGTTTCGCCGACGAGGCGCCAGCTTGCAAATGCTCGGCGGGGCGGTGCAGGGCGGCGGCGCGGCCTCTGCTGTTGCACCGAACACCGTTAATGTGACCCACTGCCGCGCCGACGTGCTGGCCGTGCTGGCCGTGCCGGTGCAAGGGGCCGCCGGCGGCGTGGGTCCGGTCGGCGGCACGCGGCACGTGGGTCCTGGTCCCCACGTTGGCGGAGAGCGGGGCACCCTTCTCGCGCTTCCCCTGGGCTTCCCCGCGCGCGCCGACGCGGCCGACGCCAACGAGGCCGTCTTCGCCTTCGCGTCCCTCTCGCCCGGACCGAAAGCGCGCGCGGAATTAAACATCGGGAACGGCGGGCCTGGTCGGGCGTGGCGGGGCGTGGCG